CAACTGTCTGGTCGCCGCCGACATGGAAGAGAGAAGTTCGGGGAAAGAGCAGTTTTCTGGACTGTGGGCCAGGCACACCCGTGAGATGGACTGTCTAAACTCTGTAGTCTCTAATAGAGAGTTGTTGACTTTGAAAAAGCTCCTACCCCTTTTTATCTGTTTGTCTGTGACGAGGTTTAGAAGGATGGGTTTATGATCAAGACCACCACCATATGGCCCCCTTGACCCTGACATCCTGTCTCGTGCTGGTTCCAGGGTAGCGTTCCAGTCCCCTGCTAATATGATGTGCCTCGCTGGCTCTATCTGTGTCTGTAATTCTTCCAACATGACCGATCGTGGTTGTCCCGTATTTGGACAGTTAAGTGAGAACTGTGTAAATGCCTCATCCTGAAAGTTAAAATTGATCTCGACCCATCTGCCGTCTCTGGTGTGCATCAGCACTTCCTGGATTGTTATCCTATTTGCTGCCTGAGAGTGCTTGTGAGGAGTGCCACCCCTGCCGATGCCGAATGGGAGTGTCCTGCTGCTGCCCAATATCCTGCTTTTACTCTCTTCAGCCTTTCCATGATCCTGGTTTGAATTTCCTGATGCTCCGGGGACGATGTGAAGTGGGTCTCTTGGATGCACAGGAAGTCCAGAGGATTGCTGCCAAACCAATCCATGTACCTCAGGACGTTATCCCACTTCTCCTGATTTTCAAGAATCTGCACCATACCATTCATGTTCCACGATACCACTCTTAGTTCAAGTTCTGTCCTCTTACCCCCCATTGTAAGTCTTCGACGTTTTCTCAGCCTTGCGTCCTCCATGTCCTCCATTGAGGTAAGATGTCACCCCAGCCTCCACTCTCCTCCTTTTGGCAATTCAGGAGCCCACCAGACCCAGATCTGTTCTTGTTACCACTTGTGCTATCTTTTCCTCCGTATATTCTGGCTTCCATGCGAAAGCTTCGACTTTAACTACAATCACTGCGCTCCTTGCCACCCACTCCGCTGCTTTCGCTCCTCCCAGTAACCCATACGGAATGGTCTCCACAACCTGCCATGGCATCCACACCAGACCCTCGCAAAGTTTCGCTGAGCTCTGGATCTTTAACATGAAGTCCACTTTCCGCGTAACGCCTGCTGAGTCCGTCCAATCCTCCCTGTCGTCCTCCAGATCGCTCACCACGTATGCTCGAGTTGGGATGTCTTCTGTTATCAGCTTCCTCAAGGCCTCCCCTGCACAGTTGTTGTCATCTGTTGTGATGAGCGCCAGGGAACAGTGGATCGCCACCTCCCAGTCGGAATTTCCTTCATTCCATCTACAAGGAAGGAGGACTCTCTTTCCTGGGCTATTTCTTGCATACAGTTTGGCCGCTGCGTGAATGTCCTTGTGCGGGGCGTAAGAAATCTTCTGCAGATTGGTTGTGCCCTCTTCCAACTCCCTGTTTGTTCCGACCCAACAAACTGTGGAGGCAAGAACCGCACGATAGATGGTGAACAAGCATTGGCGCTAGATGCCCCTCTCTCACAGGAAGAACTCTGGATAGCACTGAAGTCGATGTCCCCTAACAAAACACCAGGAAAGGACGGACTAACGAGAGAATTCTCGCTAGAATTTGGCCAATTCTAGGAGGGGAATACGAACAGTATTTAAATGAATCCTGGTATGAGGAGAGTTTGGGCGTGGACCCGGGCACAAGCATCGTCACTTTGCTCTACAAAAAGGGAGATCCTAAAGACATAAAAAACTACAGACCATCACGTTACTGACACTAACACATAAGATCGTAGCAAAGGCCTTTGCCAACAGATTAGTGTAACCAGGGGATGTTTCCACTTAGACCAGACTGGTTTCTTTCCAGGACGTTTTATCCTGGACAACGTAATGACACTCTCGGAGCCGGTAAGATACATCAGGGATAAAAGAATTAACGTGGCTATTCTTTTCTTTGATTTTGAGAAGGCCTATGACCAGGTGAATTGGAACTTCCTCCAGCAATGCATGGAAAAAATGGGAGTGGGTCCTAACTTTCGAAAATGGATAAGAGTCCTCTACAACAACGCCCACAGTCAAGTCCAGGTAAATGGCCATCTGTCGCAGAGGTATAGGATGACAAGGTCCGTTTGCCAAGGAGACCCCTTAGCGGCACCTATCTTTCTCTTTATTATGGAGGCAATAGCGTCCTTTCTAAGGAAGGACCCATCAATAGACCGGTTAGTAGCAGAACCAGACCAACAAGGCAGAAGTATCAAGCTCCCCACAACCATACTGTTTGCTGATGACTTGACAGTGTTGATACGGGCCTCAGACTCCTTCGAAGCCCTTACGCGGGCAATGAGTGCCTTCCAGCTAGCATCAGAAATGAGAATCAATTGGCCAAAGACAGTGGGGTTGTGGATGGTACAAAGGGGGGACGGGGAACAACCCCACCCTCCGAACCACGGTGGTATGAGTTGGCTGTCAGCAGCGGAACCCTTGAGGTATCTAGGAATTAGAATGACGGAGTCAGGGCCTCACCACTCAATGGCACCGGAACTCCTGGAAAAAATGCTAACGAGGATGAGTGCATGGTCTCAAGTTTACACTTCGGTGTTTGGGAGAGCTCTCATTCTCAACACCTCAGTGTTTTCCATGATATGGTACGCCGACACGATATGGACTCCACCATCCCAAGCTATGAAGAAACTAAGGAGGGAGTCAGCGGCCTTCCTGTGGACGCCGAACCCAACTGAGCAACATTTCATCTCCAAGGTGGCATGGCAACACGTTATCAAATCCAAGGACCAAGGGGGGTTGGGCATATTAGATCCCGAACAGCAACTGAAGGCACTCCAAACAAAGTGGATCTTGAAGCTGATTACCCATCCACAGCTTCGGTGGGTACCAGTTGCTATGGAACATATTCAGACACAGACCAAGTACAAAACTCCTAACATGGAAGGGACCTTCTGGCTACTGAGCAAGAGCTGGGCAAGGAAGGGAAGGCGTGGGAACGAGGGAGTAGTAGAAGAAGGGGGGCCCAGGGGAGGCTCGTATTGGGCGCAACTGCTGAAGCTTTGGGCAGAAATCTTCCCGGCGAAAGTCAAAGAACCAAGCACAGGGAGGAAGTCCTGAGGCAACCCCTTTTCTGCAATCCATGGGTTAAGGACCAGCAAGGAAAACCTTGCACTCTTACTGCGAAAGACTCTAAGTGGGGAACCTGGTTGGAGCATGGGGATGTGGGACCTCCAATGGAGGCTTTTAGAATCGGAGGGCATGTGGGACCGGGAGGGGAATGGCTGAATGCGCAGATGTACAGAATTCATGTCCCGGGAGCCTATGCAAGCCTTTTGGACAAGGATACGTGCACCCTGATTACCATAAAAAAAGACCAGCTGAGGAAGGTGAGGGTGATAGAAACCGAGGAGTTTTGCGCCAGCAACGAACATTCAGAATCTGGCGATTGACCCAGTGGAGTGGGCCTGGAATCTCAAGGGAGGGATACTGGGAACAACGAGAAGGACTAACATACTCCATTACACAACAAGGCTGGGCTACAGACTCAGGAAGCGCTCATCTCCATCAAACGAACCCTTGGCACTTGGATGGGAGAAGAGAACGCAAATACCGAAAGAAAAAGTGGCAGAATTACCATGGTCTTCCCTTCATCATATCCGCCTAAGCAGGGTAAGGAGATTGCAGTGGCTGATCTTCCATGTGGCAGTCCCGGTTAACTCATGGCTTGCTGAGCGCCGCAGTCAACAGTATTGCGACCCTACCAGTCAACAGTGCACACAATGCAAGGAGCACTGGAAACTCTGCGTCACTGCCTCCTACTCTGCCCAGAAGCAGGGTACCTATGGGACGTAGCCAGAACGCTCTGGGGCAAAATAACGGACTCCCCTTTCCCCGAGGGAGAGGAGATGCTACTGCTAGGAAGTGGCCTCCCAGAAGCTTGGCAACAATCAAAGGTGCACATTCCAACTTGTAAGGCAATATGTGTTGTGGACGATATGGAAACACAGATGCCAGCAGGCCATCGGAAACAAACAAATGCACAGGCAGGAAGCGAAGGAGACGCTCTACAACTTGGTAGAAACGGATATACGGGCTAAATGGAAAGGAATCCGTAAGCAGGCCCAGCAAAACCTGCTACAGGCCAAGGTTCTAATGGAGAATTTTCAGAAAAGGGTCTTGGCTCAGGGAAGGTTGGCATCAGTGGTGGGCTCAACATTGAGATTCCAATGCTTTGATAGGTAGAAATTTTTAAAAAGATCTATCTAGGGTTGAGGGTGTAAGTGGGACTATCTAAAAGAACATTGAGATTCCAATCCTTTGAAAGGTAGGAAAGTTCAAAGGATTTAGCTAGGGTTTAGGGTTTAAGTGGGGCTATTTAAAAGCATGGGTAGGGTAGCAACAGTGGTAGTCCTGAAGTAGAGCCTTCATAGTTCGAAGCCTCACAGGTCCCATCAAAGCATAACACAAGATTAGCTAGGGTTTAGGGTTAGGAATTAGAAGTCTCCTTTCTCTTAGCACCGGGGCCTCACGGGTCCCATCAAAGCATAACACTGGGTAAGGCTCCCAGGTCCGGTCGTTATGCAGGGTGGTTGCCCCCAATGGGCCTTTCATAAGGCATGTTATGATGGAAAAAGAAAATGCAAGGTAAATGCATCATTGGTAGGCAGGCTCTTTCTTTTATTTGCTATTTGGTCTTTTGTTTTTCCAGTTTTGTCTTTCTTCAGAAATAGCATGTAGCTTGTCGGGAGAAAGGGACACTGGACCCACCGACCCAGTTTCCAGTTAAAGCCTAATCTGGGTAACCGCCCCAGTCATCTGGGTTGAGATGTGGAAGGATTCCCGGCCTTCTTTTGCTCTATATATAATGAAGCATGCTATTTGTTATTAAAAAAAAAAAAAAAAAAAAAAGCAAGCACAGACCCATCGTACCTGAGCAGGAACAAGTTGAATTCGCACAGCAAGCTCCTCAAGAATCTTTCGCTCATCGTCAGGAAGATAGTTAGCAAACGTCCAGTTCACAAGTCGAAGCCGCACAAGCATTGGGTAAACACATTCACAAGATAGATCTGAATCACTGGCGATCTGTGTCTGTAGAGGAGAGCTCCCTTGTGGAGGCGTTTGACTTGCCATCGAGGGGTCTGCTCCACTGGTGCTGCTGGTTACATCATGCAAAGATGCCTGCAAGATAGAAGGTGCTGCCCCATCCTCCAGCTGAGAATTGAGAGAAACTGGACGGATATATTCTCCCAACGGGCAAGGGGAGCACTCTGCACCAAGCATTGACAACACACATGAGTACATTATAAGCCAAAAAAGACCAAAAAAGAAGGTGCTGCTCTGAGCATCATGACAGGATTCCATCTAACAGTCGTTGATCACATCCTTCTGAGATGCAGACATCCCTCCGTCTCGTACACACTGAGCACGATTCTGCTCGGTTGCAATTAGGGGTCCGGTGCGTCCACAGATCAGCACATGGCGAACATTCAGAGTCCAGTCATGATTCACTGGTGGAAGCATTGATTGGCATGATACAAAAGGGCCAAGGATCAGGCCGTACTGGTGCTATCTGGTCGTTTTCACTTAAGATCACAGGCGCATGAGCTCTGTACATTTGGAGATCTCTCTGCTGGTCGAAGCTTCGTCTCACGAGGGACTGAACTCCTGCATACTTGGAGCATCTCTTCACAGGTCATAGCTTCACCTCACACTGGAGTGAACTCTGCATATTTGAAGTGTCTGTCCATCACAACCATGACCTGCGAATTCCTATTGTCCTGTACTCAAATGGTGACTGCCTGACTTTCATCATAGATATTGGAAATTGTCTAACACAAGTCAAATGGTGATAGAGATTGTCTCCCTTGAATACTATTGGCTCCAATAGTATTCACCACCATCTGATATCTTGACCGCTCAGAAATCAGTTGTGTACACATTTCAGCTAAGGACCAGGAAATCCCTTGATTACATCTCTATCACTGTTAGCACTACTATCGAGGACAATCCGTCTCAGAGGTTGGAACATGATGGTCACTGACTGAGCTCGTGTTGGCTCACGTGACCTGAACAATGGCAAAATTGCATTGAGCTTGTTCCTCCATTGACGGAGTTATGTACCATACAGATCGCCCCACCATATCTGCATTGCATGCCTCGCCAGTCTTACCACTGTAACCTGCCATATGGGTTTGGGTAGACTGACCAATGCCCAAGCCTGCTTTTCCTTGTACTGAAAAGCGGTGAAAGTACGTTCAGTTTGTTCATCCAGCATTTGCATTTAACCCACTGAGAGGGGCTTTACTCCCTGCAGATTTGCATTCTAATTCCGGGAGAAATTCAGCAGCAGATATCCGTCCCAGCTGACATGTCAGAGAAATCTTCATGAACTCCATCTTGTCAGAAGCCCCAACCCCCTCTGTGCCCACCCCTCCCCCGCCCCCCACCAACACCATGAAACACACCATCATCACAAAGGTAATTCAACACCAAGATCTCAATTCTAGGTAGATGTGGCCAATGTCCTTCCACGCAATCACCCGCACACCGCAGCATTGCACTTGAGAACTAGACAATCAGCCAATCAGCTGGTGCTATTTACGAGAAAAAGAAACGAATAACAACATAAAGCATCAGAGCACACATATGAATTTCACAGTAACCGCCATGCAATTTACTGCATCTTGCCTCAGCTTTTCCTTATGCATTTGACACTTGCCAATCAAACAGCCATCAGTTTTCAGCATGGTCATCGGTGATTGGGATTGGCAGCCAATCATAAGCAGTTCTGATCGGCTGCAAAAAATCCAAACCATCAACCAGCTCAGCGGGCCCACCAATGGCTCAGATGAGGACTTCATTAACATTAGCAGTTTGTACAGTGAAGGGGGTGTTGTCAATTTCCAGTAGTGCCCGCATGGTTCTTTTTTTCGAAAACCTTTCACGTTGCAACGTACAGACAGGGCACCTGGAGGTCACATGCTTCAGCTTGATGTAAGTTGAGTCCACTTACTAGAGCGGCAGCTGCAAACTTCATCCTCCTCTCCAATCACGCATCGCTGTTTTCCAATAATCCCACCGACACATCCACAGGTCCACAACCCCTCATTGGCACAGGGTGGCGGATAGCTCGATGGTGGGTCGCTTGATGGCGAGGAGCTTGATGGTGGTAGAAGCATCGGTGTCTCACTGTAGTCTGGATGAGAGGCTGATGCATAAGCATCTGACGAATTCCACTCAAGGGATGGAGTTGCGAGGGATGGAAACATTGAGGGTACAGCAACAGGGAGAGGTTGAGAGATTGATGCCGTTGGGGAGGAAGCACCAGACGAGCCACTTGATATCGACGGATCCACTGGAGGAGTGGCAGAAGACATCGCCGAGGACATATTCACGTCATGCGGCGATGGTAGCTCGTCCGGGGAAGAAGAGTGACAAGGTGGAGGACCAGATGAGTGACTGGACTGTGACAGAGGAGTAACGTTCGAGGCGTTGGAAGTGGGATATGGGGAGAGCTCAGAGCCACTAGCATGTGATGAAGAGGATGTTGAAAAGCTCTCGCAGTTGCCTGATGCAGGGATGGTATTTGGGGTTCTGGAGGAAGGAGAGGAAGAGGGTGGTGTAGCTCCGTTCCCTGATTGAGGAGAATCACGATCCCCAGCCAACGGGTACAATGAGCAAGCTGGATCCCCACTCTTGCCGCACACCAAATCATTGTCGTACCTGCATTACAAGCCAGTGTGGCATGTGAGTTAACATACCAAAATTGACGGGGTTTGCTGCCACTTCACATCAGTCGTCTTGACCTCTGTCCAAATTTCAAACTTTCAGCTCCCTAGTATTGACATGAAATGTGATTTCTTGAAAGGGGCCCATCTCTTTTGTATAATCCTCTAGCACAGGTGTTGCCTAAACAGCAATCATGCCATGGAGGTGGAGATTCAGGGGGAAGACTGGGACAAGAATATCCATCTAAGCCCTCCAAAAAAGGGTTGATCATACATTCCGGAGGAGATTCGATAAGAAAGGACATACTTGAAAGAAGTGTGCAGGCAAGCTTTGGGTAGAAGAGATAAACGGTGTCCAATAGCGCCTTGCCGTTTGTGAGTGCTGCAGTTCATTTGCAATGGTTGCCATCCTAACCGTCTTCCCCAGACATAACGCACATGCGTTGTATATGAATACAATGCATACGCATTGCAAACGAATACAACGCATAGGGCACTTTCTATTCGAATACAATGCATATGTGTTTTATTCCAACAGCCCGTATTTTCGAATACAGCAATTATGCGTTCTATTCGGATTTTGGAATTTCTCCAAAACTCGAATACAGCACATATGCATTATGTGTGGGGGAAGACGATAGTTCAGGAGCGGTGGGGCTCATTTTAATAGATGCAGGGCACCTTAGAAGTTAAAGGCTAATTGTAGGCAGATAGAGGTAGGCAGAGGCAACGGACTGAACAGGGGCTGGTACTGCTCAGAAGAGGAGGAGAATTCGGTAGCAGCAATAGCAGAACAAGTCTGTCACCAGCCACACGGAGTTCAAAAATATCATCCAACAACCGGAACCGCACCTTCAGTCATATACTTGTCCTTCAGTCAGACATTCGTCAGTGCTGAGATCGCATCTTCTGGGCCCGACCCATCCCGTCACTTCTCCTTCGTATCCCTCCATCTCAAGACAGACCAGCTACTCAACAACATTGTCACATAGTTGACATGCTGTTTTTTTTTTTTTAACTCACAAGACCGTGGCTTTCTTAAATTTTATGGGCGACCGAAACAGATTGTCCCAAAGAGTTGTACACATCTGCTCTGACTTTTGAGCTGTGGATTTCCTTCGAATGGTTAACGACCAGCAAGAGACTTGACTTCTATTTGCCTGGCCATGGTGCTTGACGTCTGTTTTTCTGCCTATCGCGGTTGGACTGTTGTTCTTTGCGGCATTCCAACAATAACCGCCCTTCCTAAATTGGAAACTTTCGACTATCTCTGCAGGTTTTATCGTCTGGTCCTGATCTTTCACTATGGCTGATGGCTTGACCTCTGCATTGCTGTGTTTCGGTTTCCGAGACTTGAATTCAGGCCTGGAAATTTACGCTTGGGGTGCAGAGAGGTCAGATGGCAGGTTGGCATCCTTAGCAGCTGGGACTAAGCAGACCACTGACAGCCATTTGATACCTTGTTTTTTTTTTTTTTTGGCTGTTGGTTGGTCCTGGCTCGGTCGATCGATGAAGTTTCTTGTCATATTACTATACAGTAATAACTAAACCCACAAATTTTGCACCAAAGGAGCAGATATCTGTGGACAATGCGTTCACTGTGCGTGGTTCATTCTCATGGAAAGAATGCATAGAGAAACACAACAAGGCTTAGGTATCAGCCTTTTCCCGTTTCCCCACGAATAGATTCGAGCTTTTGTCCCAAAAAAAAAAAAAAAAAAGAAAAAAAAAAAAAAAAAAAAAAAAAAAAAAAAAAAAAAAAAAAAAAAAGAAAAATCCAATTTTTTTCAAAAAAAAAAAAAAAAAAAAAAAAAAAAAAAAAAAAAAAAAGCCTTTTCCCGTTTCAGGATTTTCAGTCAGAAGAGTGCTGAAAAGATACGTCATTCTGCAAGAACAGTCATCGAGAGCACTATTTAGGGGGCCCTGCAGCGGCTTTGCCATGGCAAGCATGTGGCCATCTCAAGGTGCTATAGCTAGAGTGAGTGCAATGCTGCAGTAGAACAAGAGCTATTTTTTTGTGAGGAATAGAACTAGACAAATGGCACCTGTGCAGAAATGGCACAACAGCATCAAAGAGGATCCATTTGGACACAACCACAGGATATACAGCAGCGCAGGTCAACCACCTTGCAAGGGAAACACAGGTTGTGGGGAGCACATGCCATCCTGTCTGTGAGTATAGAAAGCCAAGAAGCCTCACCTAAGGTTAGGTACGCTGCGCAAGCCACTGGGGATACGCCCAAAAAAGTTATTATATTGTATTTGCCTGCACATTAACAGAAAGCAAATTCAGTTCATGGTCCAAGTGTCATTGCACCACACTAAAGATATCCCTGAGAGAGTTCACTTCATGCAAAAGCAACCAGTACAACATAGAAACAAGAACTGAGATATTCAATATAGGTAAGATGTACATGTTACATGTCCAAGTGTCATCGAGTCCCACATGCCCACACAACCACAGCAATAATGGAACTGGCTAGCGTTCACAGAACAATAATATTTCTCCGTGGAATGGCTAGCGGATGTTGTGAAGCCTCTCTGTACTCCTCCGACAATCCCAAAGGGGTCTCCTAGGTTGATCCTTGAGGTCACCTGTGTGGATTGAATCAATTGGGGTCAACACATTCTTTACGTCATGTCGCCAGTGTTCACATCAAGCTCCTGTCTCCAGAGGTGACATTTCACTAAGGGTGGACAAATGGCTTCTTACAGGGAGGCAGCAATGAAGATTCTGCCGCCATTTTCTAAACTGCTCTTACATCTGAGGGACCTCCTAGTCAAAAGGAAAAACGAATCTGCACCTCAAAGGCATTCCAGGACACTCCTGTCAAGAAGCCCCATTCAGAAACCAGAGTTAGCCTCCAGGCTTTTGACACCACTTTGTTCAGGACCATGTTCAAAACACCCCAGACACCACACTCCAGGTTAGTGCCCCTCTAGACTGTGCCAAATACACCTCCCTTAGAGGGATAGAGGGAGGGGAGTGAGGGAAGGAGTGAAGACCGAGATATGGAGGAGAGAGGGGAGGACAGGGGGAGGGAAGATGGAGGGAGGGTGGGAGGAAGGGAGGGAGGGAGGGAGGGAGGGAAGGGGCTCATTGGAGCCTTTCGAGTAAGGGTGGAAGGAGGAGGGACGAGGGAGAAATGAAGGGAGGGAGAGAGGGAGAGGAAGAGATGGAGGAGGAAAAGGAAGGGATGGAAAAGAGGGACTGAGGAGATTCAACAAGACACGTAAGCAGGTGGGAGAGAAAAAGCAAAGTGCCCTCTGCTGCATCATGTGGCCTTCTTTCTTTTGAAGAATTACTAACAGCAAACAATGTGGGAAATGCTTTGAACCCTTCAACTTCTGCCATATCATGAGGCCTTCTTTCTTTCTTTCTTTCAAAGACGTACTAACCACATACATTTTGGGAAAGTATTTGAACTCTTGAAACACCACTACCTTTTACCATTGTCCTGATAAACAGGAGCTGTGCCCCTTTTTCAATTGGTTCATTGGACTGATGATCCAATGGCCACAGTTGTTTTTTTGCATTCCGCAGGGGCTGGCCCAACTTTTCAGGAGCCAGCGGGGGTTTAAGCTGGGCCCTAACAGTTCCAGATGCCAACCATTTAGCCAGCAATGAGGTAATCAGCTTACCAGCTATCATCAACACCGTTCCCAATGGTTCTCCGAGTTGACACACTTTCTGCATAAGTTAAGCAAAACACACGAACCGAGGGCGGGCCTCCACTTCTTTTTCCCAGTTGTTTTCCTTTTTTACCACACAACACTCCCGGTTCTTGAACCTACTCCCTACATGGTACGCTGTTGTGCAAGCCATTCCTATTCTGGTTGCGGAACACTCCAAGCTTAGCTTGGCCATGGCTTACTTCCAGCAGTAGAACAGTTTTTTTTTTTTTTTTTTTCAATTATATAATCCAGCTTCACCCTACTAGGACGGGGGTGATATGCCCATCCCCCACTAGTAGGTATCATGCTGGTTGCTCTGGTCTATGGAACAGTCTTCCCTTCTATTCTCCTTGTTTTCCAATCACATGCTCAGGTATCCTCAACCCAATTCCTGGTTCATGTCATTCACAAGTCGTGAACATCGGGCAGGTGGTTCCTTTTTTTTTTCCGGACCATGTCTCCATTTATGGGTGTCATCCTTGCGCACAGGGGCCATGCTATTCTTCTCTGTATCGTGCAGGCGGTTCCTACTGCATCTGAACAAACAATGAATGACTTCTGTTGGTGTCAACTAAAAACAAGACTACTTCAAACACTCCCTGCACAATAACACATCCAATCCAACGCCTTCCCAACCCACTGAGCTTTGACAGAAAGGAGGAAGAAAGCCATCATCATCATCATCATCATCATCATCATAACAAACGCAAGACGAGAGCCCAACCTTCCAAGAAGCCCAGAAAAAGAGGTTCCCGAGGAGAGATCCAATTGGCAACATGCAGGTTTCCAGAGTTTGGCCGGCTGAACAAGACCTTCCTAAAGACAGACCTTACTGAGCAACTTTTCACAAGGAAAAGGTATCGTATCCAGACTCAGAAACGTGAAATAAATGCCGACTCTCACAAGGTCATGCACCTTACGGACTCTGACTGTCTGACAGGTTTGCGGATTGCTCAGCAGCAATTACGAGGTCTGGTCAAAATATATGAAATAAACAGTAATGTATTTAAATATCGACTCTTAAATACATAGTATTAGGTACTGACTCTTGAACCGCCGGCGAAATGTTCCCAAAGGACCATCGCAAAAGCAATGCACAATGAAAAACTGTTAGAAATGTTTCTGAAGAATCAGGGGCTCCGAGGGGCAAAAGGCAAATCAGAAATTCATACAAGATTGTAAGCGTTGATCCCACCAACCCAAGAGCTTCTGGTATCTCCCCAGAGAGATTGTTAGACAGCAACAGCCTGAACCCAAACCAGATGACCACAAACAAAGACAATGTCAGATAAGTGACAAAAGACGGATCAGATTGAAATCAGCAAAAAAAATAAATACACAAATTAATAAAATTGCATAGATGGGCCGGTGGAATAAGAAGCAGACTAACGCTCCCCAGAATGGACAAGGAGCCAGAACCATAAGGTACTGTTTTTGATATTAAACCTTCCCCCCCCCTCCCCCCCCAAAAAAAACGAAAAAATACAGACGGGCCATGGGTGTCATAGTAGACACACCAAAGTGTAATAAGGAAGAGAAGATTGGTCACTCCCCAAGACAAGGTCCAAAATGGATGAATATTAAATATTAATTTGTTCTCTCAGTGAATGAATGACACTCCACGGTCTCCACGAAAGCTCCGAATGTTTGGCCAGAGCTAGGACCATAATTAGGATCCAGACATCTGGACAGGCATGCAAACTGCATACCAGTGTCTGGATACCAATGTCCGGATGCCAGCATTGGGATGCCATTGTCCCAATGCTCTGCATGGATTAACGAAAAATACGTTTTCCAAAATGTTGATTATTCTAGAAAAAAATAACCAAAAAAGAAACTGGAAAAAACTATATGTATTGTGCATCATAGCAATACAAACAACTTTTGAAGTTTTGACTAAGGGTCATTTTGAAATCCGTGAACGAATTCGAGGGAATGGAGGAGGCAAAGAGCAATGTTTGGTACCAACGCCCCGAACTGTTGAAATAAAGACCTGAGTTCGGACTCCACTAGAAGCAGATGAGTAAAATGATTAAAAAGTTAAAATACTACAATTCTGAATTACCTAGGGCCGGTCAGTTCAATCATCATAGGTCAAGGCCGTTGACTTTGTGAAAACGAAAGGAAAGGAAGAGAAGAAAGGAAAAAAGGAAGGTAAAGAGAGAGAGAGAGAGAGAGAGAGAGAGAGAGAGAGAGAGAGAGAGAGAGAGAGAGAGAGAGAGAGAGAGAGAGAGAGAGAGAGAGAGAGAGAGNAGAGAGAGAGAGAGAGAGAGAGAGAGAGAGAGAGAGAGAGAGAGAGAGAGAGAGAGAGAGAGAGAGAGAGAGAGAGAGAGAAAAGGAGTAATGTTTGGGGCAACCTACTTGTCTGGAAAGGATCTGGACAACTGGATGCTATCCAGACCAAGGTCCATATCTGGTGCAGATCATGATCCGAGTTCGCATCCGGTGTGACGAAAAACGGTTAGCAGTGCTTGTGAAACCCAGTACACTTGGAAATCAGCGTTTGTCCACTACAAACACGATGATCATTCAGGACTGCCGGTAGCCTCGTTGAATCTGCCTAACGATACCTTCTTCACTGACCCTCGTCCCTTCACAGTTCACCAAACGTGAGTAATTTGAATTTTCACAATTGTTCTGCAAATCCGACAGCAAAGGTCCTACGACGAATTCATGACACCGACACTCAAGCAGCCTTCTTGCAGGCAGAAGCAGACATGTCATCATGCTGATGGGACCACCGACCTCCCTATCTTTTCCAAAGCTTTTTCTACCTTCATCGTGCATATGCATGACATCCCCGATGGTGAACAGTAACGAACCCCGGTAGCCAACAAACAAAAGGAAACGGATCATTGTCTGAATGAGTGTATGTTCAAACATCTACTCCCTGCGGTGCCTCAGATAAACCCCATCAGTGCCATCACATAATTTCCACACTTATTCCCAAAGACGTATGCTCGGATCTCTAATGTTGCAGAGTCTGTAATAAGATGAGAAGGGTCAACATGAACTGCTTTTAAAAGAATGCTTTTTCTTTTATTTTTGTTAAAGGCCTGCACCACGTGGATGCAGGTGAAAAATCCCGACACCAACGGCAACTGCCTTGGGCCACTGCCACACACAGCCTCTAATTTGGCGTGCAGCCACTGCACAGGAGAAGGCAACCAACTGTGTTCATGTGGAAGCTTCATAAACCACCACAGCAAGGAGGCAGGCGTCAACTACATAAAGCAGACGGCCACTACAACTGAGAAAGTGATACTTCTGCATGGCAATAGAAATGACACCAACACTGCCCTGACACTATTTGATAAACACAAATTGAAAATCAGTCTTAAAACTCTGAACATGGGAAGAGTTTTTGTTCCAAACAAGGTAAGCAAAATGTGCAAACACCAGGAGTAAGAGAGGGAGATGAAGCAGCAAACACCCGTTGACTTGTTACAACAGAGAGATGGAAGGTATGCTTGGTTTTGCATAAGCTTGAACATGTGACCTTTGACTGATAATTAGAAGTTTTGTGCCCGATAGATGATAGTACCCCTGCCTCTTCCCCATAGCCCCAATGATGGAGATTTTTAGAAAGGGGGCAAACGCAAAGGAAGACCGGCTGGACTGGAAGACACAAGGGATAGTCATTAGGAGCTGGAACAATAATGGGCTCGCAAATATCATCGACAAAGAAGAAAAAGTGCATGATATAACCAAAGGCCTTACCGTTCACAGAAATAAACTGGCAGATATCATACTGCTACAAGAAACTCACCTCACCTTCTCAGCAGAACACAACAGAATTTGAAAACTCTTATCAAGGAAACTGGGAGGAATGAAAGATGAAATATGGTCCTCAGACAATACGTCAAGTACAAAAGGTACAGCCATCCTGGTACCCAAATCATCCCGCCCAAACACGGCAGGATCGATAGTGGGCAAAGAGGCGGACACCGTAGAAGGCAGATGGTGCCTTATGGATGTGAAGTGGAAGGACGAAGAGTTCAAAGTAATCAATGTCTACTCACCAAACAGCTCTTCAGAAAGATCAGCTTTTATAACAAGCATTGGTCATCTGATTCCCCCTTTATCGCCCTGTAATTTGGCCGGGGATTGGAATGCAACTATAGACCCCACCACGGATCATATATCTAGGTCCTTGGCTGGTCAGCTTATACAGGAGGCGGTGCCCATTAAAAAGCTGATGATGGACTACAATATAGTTGAACCGGACTTTGCATCGGGGGGCAAGAGCCTTCACATCGGTCAAAAATACCTAGGGACACTAATGGGGACAGCTAAAAGTACCAAGATCCTGGCCCTCGCACCGTACCCAGGTCTGGACCACAAACCCATCGAACTAATAATCCGCTTCGAACAATATGTCAAAAAAGGGTCCAACTTCCATCCTACTGAGCTGAAATTTTCAGATTGGAGTTCAAGATTGTTGGCAGAATTTGAAGGGCACCTACTTACCCATACAGGATCGATGGGAATGGTTTCAGGAAAGCTACTCCACATTATCACAGATGGTAGCTAGAATCTCAAGGAAATTAGCGGTCGGCAGGAAACAAAGGAAGCAAACGTTGGAGGCAGCCCTGAAGATCGCAGAGACAAATCTGGTCGATAACCCCTCCTCGGTACTCTATAGCGATATTTTCGAAAAGGCAAGAGAAGAACTCACTATGTGGAGAAGGGACTACAAATAAGAGCCAGAATGAACGAATATCAGCTAAGTGAGTCAATGTCAAAACACTTCTTCGCAAGAATCAACGCACAATCAAGTTCCAACGCGATAGAAGGCCTGAAAACCCTCTTAAATCCAACTTAAACCGAGACAGCAAAGGAATGTTGAACGTAGCAAAGGTATTCTACGAAGAGCTCTACCAAACGAAGACCCCTATGCCCACGCCGCCCAGCACCAGAGAGGCACGGACAATGCTGCTGCAATACCTGGAACAAACGATATCTCAAGAACAAGCAGAAGCCCTGGACAAGCCCATCGCCATGGAAGAACTACAATTTGTGGTCCAAAATATGAACAACAATAAGTCTCAGGAATCAACGGATTGACAAAAGAATTCTGGGAGAAGTTTTGGCCGCTCTTGGGAAGAGATTTGCTAAACTTCTTCAATGACAGCTGGCTCAAGGGGGGACTAGGAAACCTACTGAGTAGCACCGTGGTCACTTTGTCCCTATAAGATCCTAGCCAAAGCTCTTGCCTCTCGAATCCTAGACCTGACAAACAAATGCTTTCACATAGATCAAACAGGTTTCATCCCTGGGAGATACATCCTGGATAACGTATGGACCCTCGGCAAAGTAGCCAACAAAGTTAAAGAAAAAAGGATAAACACAACAATTCTTTTTTTTTTTTTTGAAAAGGCCTATGACCAGGTCAACTGGGCTTTTCTCAATGCAAGCATGGAAAAGATGGGAGTGGGTATGAATTTTAGGAAGTGGGTGCGCATTCTAAATAATGACGCCATAGGGTGCATCCAAGTCAATGGCTTGCTTTCCGACTGCAATCCAATCTCTCGGTCAGTGCGCCAAGGGGACCCTCTGGCACCCCCAATCTTTCTCTTCCTCATGGAAGCAATAACCTCATTCCTATGTAAAGACCCCTCTACAAATAGACTACCAGAGGTCATTGTAGGAACAACCCATCACCTACACTTCCCGACAGTAATTATGTTTGCAGACGATCTCATGGTCCTTATAAGAGCTTGAGACTCGTCATTCAGCGCGTTTGTAAGAGCAATGGAAGCATTCACACTGGCATGAAAAATGAAGATTAATCGGAAGAAAACAATCGGCTGGTGGCTATCGGAGGAGGAGATTCCCCAACGTCAAGGCCCTGAGGCAGACATGACATGGGAGACACCTGAGACACCTACGCAATATCTAGGCATCTTGCTAACAAAGGATGTCTTCGCCCCTCAAATGGCCCAAAATATCCTAGCCAAACAAATTAACAAACTGGGTAGATGGGGTAATACATTCACATCATTGCTGAGCCATCAACGCATCTATTTTTTCAATGATGTGGTACATAGCGTCAACCTGGACAGTTCCGGACCATACAATTAAGGAACTTAACCGTAAAGCAAGAGCATACTTGTGGTCGGGTGACCCCAACAAAGAGAATTGCATACCAAAGATAGCATGGCATTACATCACAAGGAAACCAGCCGAGGGAGGTCTTGGTATCATAGACCCTAAACAGGAATCCAAAGCCTTACAAGTTAAATGGATAGTCAAACTACTAACTAAAACTGGTACGGCATGGAATAAACTGGCCTTGGATAGCATCAAGGGCTTAGCACCTACAGCCACACCAACAAATATGCCCGGCCTGTTCTGGGTAATGACCAAGGAATGGAGTCCAAGCACAGGGTGCAAAAATCAACGACGAGGAACCGATCCAAATGAAGCCAGACCCCCTACACCATATTGGACTGCGTTGCTGCGGATATGGCGGGAAGTCATGCCAAGGAAAGTGGGTAAACCCAAATCCAAGGAAGAGGTACTGAGGCAACCCCTGTTTGGTAATCCGTGGGTAAGGGATGAAAGTGATCACCAACTATCCCTTAAGCCTAGAGAAAGGAAATGGCTTTCATGGATCAAACATGGAGTTTGGAAGGTGAGCCATCTATGGAACGAGGAGAAAAAGGATTGGGTGACAGAACAGGAACTCGCCTCCCAGCTCGAAGGATGTCACCAACGAGACAAGAATCTACAATCCATTATCAACTGCATCCCAGAAGGCTGGAAAGAGTTGTTGAGCGAAAGCTCAACTCGGAAATCGGGTGAATGGGGAGTGAGGGTGCAGGATTTAACCCCCACAAGGGCCTATCAATTCTCCTGTAAACAGCAAAGGTCGGAT